CTGCAGCCAATTAAAAATACTATGCCATATTTTACCATCTAATTTACTGCAGCAGCCAATCTTTTTTTCAGTGTACGACTGAAAAAATTTGAAAAGCTGAAATAGTCCCTTTACGGGACACGATCTCCAGATCTCTCGGTACCGGCTGCACCAATTTTATTTGAATTGGTCACAATCGAAAGATACCGACGACATTATATAATAAAAGTGTTTTTAGATTATTCATTGCGGTTTTAGTTTCTGAATAATTTTAATCTAAAATTTGTTAATATCAAAACTCCAGATAAAGCCAATGGTAGCGTTGCGAATTGGCAATGGCATGAACATATACGCAATCATGTTCTGCACACATCAATCGACCAAGCTGTCAAGCGGCCCGTTTTATATTTTTATGCACTTGGCGTCGCGACGCTAACGCAACGCTTGATTTACAAATTATTTCCTACTATATATGTCTGTTTAATCCGGTTGCAATGATATGTCATAGTTAACTTGGCAATTATAATGTATATACGCTTGGACATCAATACTCATTATGCCTACATCACAAGATGCAGTCATACATCGCTCAATTCGATTTTTAATTTTAAGTGAATGACTAATAATTTTAATTTTTAACTTTTAATTGTATTTTAATGATTGTATGCGATACTGAGAAGGATTCGCAATAGGATCGAAACGTCTATTATTATTATTTATTAATAAACTCATTGCATGCGTACATCCAGTGTTCGGCTTTCATAGGCATTATCATTATTTTGATATAAATTCTTATTGTAAATATCTTACTATCGGCTTTAAACTCAATATCGCTTAATATTTTTTTATTCGGTTAATATTTTTTTATTTGATGCTCTCATTTAATTTCCATTTAAAAAAATATAAGATTATAAAAATTCAAGATAATATTCAAAATTCAATATATAAAAAAAGTAAAAAAAATTAACGAAAGTTGGAGAAATTGTGTGGTTAAGAAAGATTTGCAGATGTTCCTATCCCAATTTTAATGAAATTCAGTTTGTAAAAGAGATAAAAATATTCAATACTTTTTTTTATCAGTCAAACATGTTTAAGGGGTAAAATCAGCTAAATCGTTTTTCGGTTATAAATTCTGAACAAAGTATGATAGCGTATAATTTCGTAAATATACAAACTGTATAGAATTTCGAAAGTTATCCACTGGTATAAAAATTACTAGGTGCATTCGCCTATATTACCTGGCACTCCCCAAGTCGCGTGCAAATAGTGGGACCTCGATGGATGTCAGTCGTGGTGTCGCATGCCGTGCCGGAGAGAGACTTGCGTCTGAGGGACGATACATACAATTAAGCACACAACGTTAAATTTTGAAATTCTGTACATTTTGTATATTTACAAAATTATGCATCGTTCAAAAGTTATAGCTGAAAAATGAAAATTTGGCCAATTTCCGCGCGCGCGCGCGAGAATTAATTTTATTCCTTAAACATGTTTGGTTACTGATAAAAAATCTTTTTTACCCACTAACAATAAGTTTCATTAAAATCAGGAAAGAATACCTGGGAGTCTTTCCTTATAAGAAAGGCTTTTGTTTAGAGGTCCTTTAATGTCCTTGACTTTGACATACCTATATTGTTAAGGTCATAAACCTGAGTAACAATTAAAAGATTTAAATTGTCGCTTATTATTTATTAAAAAGTTATTGATAAATAAAATAAACCATACAAATGTATGTTGATTGCTATCAAATTTGAATTATTTCAGAGAATTTAAAAATAAAAGTATCTGTTTTATGAAATGTTGTAGATAATAGTTATCAAAAATGTGATTGTTTGATAAAAAGTCCCTTAGTCACGCTTTGCGTGATAGCTTTTAACTTTCCCTTCCTAAATAATTATATATCTCGATTTTTCTTTCGTTGAATTGCCCTTACCCTTATAATATTGCCACCATTACATAAAATTATAGTGTACGAATGAAAAGGTAACATTTTAATATCAACGCCATATGCATCGTCAAAAAAAGGGGTAAACTTATTGTTCAAAATTTCTGGTAAAGTAAAGATGCCATTTCAAAAGACGCAGACGTTGAAAAGCAGCGTTAGCCTGGTCACATGGTCTCAATTTAATGCTAGCATCTGAAGCTAAAAATTTTTATCTAACTTTCACACAATATCAGATTCCTCCAGTTCTTTTAGACTGAACGTTACATACGTGACGCTACATCCTTTTCATGTATTTTCACTGTATAGCGTCAATTTTGATCACAAATAACCTACTTTAAAGCTACAAATGAGCATATATCGAGCATTAGCATGAAAAAATACCTTAAAAGTATAAAACATTGCAATAATTATTCTGATATTATGTTGTTTATGGGATATATTTGTGAGATAAATGTATTTTAATCTATTAGTGAATTGTCTCATAATTGCTGATACAGTTCTCATTTTCATAAGTCACAGTTTCATTATATTAATTAGAATCAGATTTGTTGTCTATTTTAAACTTAACGGAATATAACATGGTGAGATAAGACAGCGTTAAACTCGCCATCTAAAAGAAATAATTATAACATAACATTAAAATCTAATATACATTTAATTATTTCAGTTGTCTTTATATGGTTATATTATTCGCATTAATCATGTTATATTTACAATCTTCTAATTAATTATTCAAATTTATAACGACAGAAAAATATATCATTACCGATGCAAAACTTTCCAACGACGCCATAATTATACCACCAATATTGAGCACATAACCTTTTACTGTTCTTTGTAGTATAAATATGAAAAGTTTTTGAATATGCACGGGTGCTGCATACCATGGTATATCGTACCTACGTAATTGCGAAGAGAATGTGACCTATTTCTTTCTTTTTATTAAGATTCTTATTAAATGTAAGTGTTTTAATAAGCAAATGACGTATCATGGATTAATTCTAAAAACTTACACTTCATTAAACATAAGAATACTACGATCTGTTAGTTTTTGTCCAAAATAATTGACGAAAAACAAAAAAGCATACTGGCCTCCACTAAAAGAGCCAGATGCTATTAATTCCGCAAAATCATTCATTGCTAAAACAGCCTCGATTAGCTAAAAACATGATAATTTAAATTAATCGAATTCAATTTTTTACAATTAGAAAATATTTTATTATTAGACAGAAAGAATGGAACAATATAAAACAGGACTAAGAATATTTATTTAAAAAAATAACTCACACGGAACATGTTAATAATTATCGTAATCATTCCAAGTATGAGCATAATAAAATAGGTTACCTTGAATGTGGACATAAAGTAATCTAAAAATCTTTAACAGTGAAAAATTGCATGAATTAAATATGAATAATATCTAAGTTAACGCATTAATTTTTTTCGCATTGAAAATATATGCAAATAATTTTTTAGTAAAAAAAAATTAAGATACCTTGCATCTTTTTTTCATGATTGATATACTCACTCAACTGTTCGTCTATGGACATTGACGACTTTTACGATTCTGGCGTGAATTATGGCATATTTTTCATTTGTATTTACTGAAAACATTCCGTCATCGAAAACATGTTTCAAACGGTAGCTATAAATATAGATTCATATTATTTTTGGTTAAAGATATAATATATCAAAATCAATCTATTGAATACAATTATCATGTATTTGAGAGAGTGTAAAAGTTATCTCTTTTTCTATAATTTATGTCATAATTTACTTTGCTTTTGCCATGGGTATGCTATGTTTTTTGTAACAATAATAATTAATTAGTGATGCACTGGATATCCGGAAAATATCCAGTATTTGGTAATATCCGATACCTTTGCTATTCGGTCGGATCGCCCGATATCATTAATATCCGATAATATATATATATATATATCCGATTGAAATTTTATATTGAAAGTTTGTGTTATCGATGCTTCAGAATTTTATTCTTTTCAGCTGAACTGCTTGCATAGTTCTTTCCTATTTTTCTTTTCACGTTGGGAAAATAATGAAAATTAAAATTATTATCGCTATTTTTCCCTTGTTTTTTTTTTAAATTTTGAAGAATTTTTACCTGATATCTCGGAAAATATTCGAGATTCAGCCGGATAATTACTATATTGGATATTGGATATCCAGTATCACATTCTTTTTGGATATCCGATATCCAGTATCCGATAATTTTACGATCCAGTGCATCCCTAATAATAATCATCACTAAATTCATTAGAATTATACGATGAAGTACAGTCAAAAGAAAGAATTTATTAATATCTTATACATTTATATAAAATGTATAAGAAAATACTCGAAATGCGTTATTATTTTCAAAAATTTGCAGTATCTTACCTAGTCACTTCAAATAGTCCACAAGCATGTAAAAGGTATAACATATTTAATGATGAAGTCGCAACTATTGTTATTAGGCCTAGCGCGATTGATAATGATTGATGCATCAGAATAGAATAAAAATATTTCTGTTCATCGAGAATACCATATTCCGCTAAGAGAGGCAATTTCCTCGAACGAGATTCGTTTAAGGGATGGACAAAATCAAGAAAGCTCGGTAAATAAAAACCCAAAATAAAGCTAAACGTAAGTGGCAAGAGAAAAGCTAAAACAATATTATACTATTATATATTAGAAATGGATCACAGAGTAGTCTTCGTTATTTTCATGTTCATATTGTTTGTAATTTAATAAAAATGGTAAAATTTCTGATGTCCTACCGAAGAAAACTATTGTGTATCGCATTCCGATTATGGTATGATAGCGTATAACCTCGCATTCTCTTTCATCTTTGAATGTATTCCAATCATGCTGAATTCTATTCATCATATCTTTTATCTAATAAGGATAGTGATAATTAAACGCGAACGTCAATATTATATTTAAATCTTAATGATACATTTTTTATAATTAAATAGAATTAGTTAGTAATCTGAATTAAATTGTTCATACACGTACTCTATCAATCTTAATAATGAAGCTAAGAAAGTTTATAATATAGATGATACAAGGAATAGTATACGTTAGACTATACAGAAAACGATCGAGATCGTGAACCGTGCTTTGTAATTTGATGAGCTGCAGAAAAAGTTTTATTATACAACAATGCTTTTTCAATTTAAGAAAGATATTAAAGATATTAAATCACTGTTGCAATTATTTAATTCTGTTAGTTTTACAAATGTTAGTTAAAGTTAATTAGAATTTTTCTGACATTTATAGAAATGACTTACAGAAAAATGTAAAAATGAATGAAAGATATAATAATATGAGCATTAAAAAATAAATATTAAAATTAGACTAAATAAAATTATAATTTAACGTATATAGGTATAAGGAATATTAGTATGTATGTATAAAAGAAGCACTAATTTTATATCAAATAAATAAAAAAAATTACCTGAGTAATATTAGAAGATACAAAGACAAAAATCGTAAATGCTCTATAAAAATATATATACATGGAATTATTATAAGGCCATAATCCTGTCATTTCTAGAAAGAAACGACTGATTCTGTAGTAACGCTGACCGTTAAAATTCATTTCTCTTCAAAGGCTTCACTACATTTGTCATGAGTATATCGAAAAAAAACTCATTTTTTCCGGCAGTATTCGTTATTGATGATCACAATCATAATTTTCTCACAAATTTTATAATTTTATTTAGGAGAGATCGTGATAAAAAAAAATACGACGATAAAGGTGAATTACATAAAGTGTGTGATGGAAAACAAATGTTCGCCGCTTTCATCATTTATTCATACATATCTTGCGCACGCGCGTTTGTCACTATTCTGAGACCCACGTTAGTGAGTCTTTATTTTCATACAAGTTGTTGAGAATCGTAAAGACGACATTAAGTTTTATGTGTTACATATTTAGTGCTTCAGCATATTATATTAAAGAAAATATTAGAAAGTAAATCATATATTCAATTTAGACAGCCGTGCCGAAAAAAAACATTAGATTAGAAAGTTGTTTATAGTATACATACCTATATATATATGTACGTAATTGATACACAATGAGTCACATGTCACAAAAAGTATTTTACTTATTATTAATTATAGTACATATTTATTTAGTCAATTTAAATTAGAAATTAATATTATAATTACATCGGCATATATACGATTGTTAATGATAAAAAAGATAGGTAAAAAATAAAATATATTTTAACTCCTTAAAAATATGTCTTAATTTATGACATAATAATAAAAATTGTAAAAAGTGAAAAATGTATTTTATTGTTATTTCAAAATTTATTTTAGTAAATATCCAGAGAAATATATGTAGTACGTACTGATTGCGTTTTAAAACCTGCGATTCGAATTTTTTAAACGTGACTATTATGCTTTTCGTGACTTTCTTTGTGCATTCCCATGGATTGAAGAACCATAACGTAAGATGTAGACATACTGATAAGCTGAATATAATAAATATTAAAGATCATTTTTTCTTTTATAAGATTAATCAAAGGATTGCTCATAATTCCTTATGCCTATAATTTCTTATAATACCTTAGCAAAACCTTCCAATGACGCATCAAATAAACCTCCAGCTGTTAAAGCACTCTTCCTGTTACTTCTTTGCATTATGAGTAATATCAGTTTTTGCATATATAATGGCGCAGCATACCACTGTGCGTTATACCTATTAATATATGTACAGATACACATGTATAGCAATTAATAATGATAAATATATATTTAATTAAATGGAGTCATTAAATGATCAAATAAATTTTTTCATTCTTATCAAATTTTGAAAATTATAGGTCAGAACAAAAGTTTGTAGCGGTACTTCATTTGTATCATGTCTACATGTTTTTTAAAAAATTTGGCCATTATATCATTCAAAGTTTCAGCTTCAAGAATCTGTTTTTTGAAGTGCGATATGGTGATTTTTAACAGATTTTTAACAGATTATGAGCGATTAAAGTTAAATAACTTTTTTTAAATTTAATCTTCAATAACTTAGTAACAAAAATCTTAGAAACATTTTAAAAAGTGACATTAGAGGAAAAACTTTAAGCTTTTATTAGATGTATTCAAGAAATGAAAAATTATGTATTCTATATTATTCACATATTACAGCGAATATTAGAGCCATCAAAATTATATTAGGGTAACTCCGATAAATATGTCGTGTTGGGATTTACGCCGCAGAAATCAGAAAAAATAGAAGGAGTGGGGGTAATTTTCCCGCAACTACTCTGTTACATGCCTTTATGTTATATTAGTATTGTGTTATGATTTCAGCTTCTTACTGTTAATATTAATGAAACTATTTTGAGTTGAATCGATTTGTCACTGTAATAAGTAGCGCCATAATAAGTTATAATCTATATAAAATGATTACTGTAAGGCGTGTAAAAGATTTAGTGGTTATTTCGTGATACATACGTATAGGATTTTACTATTGGCCCAATACTGGCCCAAGATTGGTTATCAGGTGGTTTATATTGGCGCGATAATGGCGACCATGATTGGCCCACTAATGGGAATACTATGGGATGATAACTTCGGCCCAATAATGGATAACTATACTGGCCAAACGTGATAAACAATGTTGGGCCATTAATAGTTGTCTTATCATGCCAATATTTGACCAATAATGGTTTTAATGCAGTGCCGTGATTATTCCAAT